AGTTCTATTTCCTCATAGACTACTTGGCCCCTCCTAAATCCCTCCCATAGTCTTTCTGTATATAGGGTCCATCTTGTTCCCATTAAGATGCTCTGATTCTTATAATCTAGCCACTGCTCAGATTTTTACAATCTAGCCAATAACTCACAGACCTGCAGATTCCTTAAAAGTCTGGCTAATGTGGCAGATCTTTAATAAACCTTGTCTTTGGCTGAAAGAAGGCTTGGGTCAAATTCTTTTGGGCAGGACCCACGTGATCTTGGGGTTCCAGCACCCCTAAACCTCTAGACCTCATCTCCAGGTACTGTGCTTAGTGCTGGGGATACAAAGAAAGGCAAAAATAGTTCCTGCCTTCATGGAGAGTACAATCTCATGGGTGAGACAACATGCAAATAATGATGTACAAACAAAGTATGTATAGGACAATTTGGAGATAATCTCAGAGGGAAGGCACTACCATTAAGGGAGATAAAGAAAGTCTTCTTGTAGGAGGAATTTTAACTGAGACTTAAAGGAAACCAAGGAAATCAGAAGGTGGAAATAAATAGGAAGAGCATTTCAGGTAGGAGAGACATCAAGTGGAAATGTACTATCAATTATGCCCCCCAAAAGCTATTAAAATGTGCATACTCTTTGACCCAGCAATATCATGGATAGGTCTATACTCCAAAGAGATCAAAGAAAGAGAAAAAGGATTCATAGTTACAAAAATATTTATGGCAGCTCTTTTCCTGTTGGCTAAGAATTAGAAACTAAGGGGGGGGGCTCCCATCAATGTATATGTAGTACTATGAGTATAGGCCCCACCTTTACGGTGAGGTTCCACATGTATTGAGGATGCTATTTTGTGAACATTGAAGGGAGGCAGGAAAGACATCCCTAGCCTCTTCTCCCCCTCCCTTTCTCCAAGGGAGACTTTCATTCCTTCCAGGAGGGGAAGCAGGAGGTTGAGGCCAGAGGCTACGACTCTCCTTTCCTCAGAGAGAGGGGGTATTGGACTAGAAGGGTATCTATTTGCTTCTTTAAATATTGTTCATCTAGGGGATATGATCAGATTCTATCTAAATTTTGATGACTTTGTCATTTCTGGAGGAAGGGGCAATTCCAAGTTCTATATCCAAGGCTTAAACTGTTTTCCACCTTATACCATTTCCACAATGCACACACAGAAAGAATAGCAAAAACAAACAAAAATATCCTAATCAGGGCAAAACAGAAATCAGAGAAAGTATACATGGGAGAATATACATCAGGCAGTACAGATTGAGGGAACTCTCCCACTGAGAGTGGGGTAACTCAAGCCAACCAACAGAGAATGTCCTAGATCTCACTGAAGGAGAAATTCCTGAAGTCTCTAGAATAGTGAGCTGGGAATGGGGATATGATGAAGCTGTCTGCTCTTCATGTCTTCTCTGAGTCTTTTCCTTCAGTGAACTGAAGGGGTAAGTCCAGGGGTGGGGAACCTGCAGCCTTGAGACCGCACCTCATCCTCTAGGACCTCAAGTGAAGTCAAATGGCCTCACTTGAGGACCTAGAGGGTCAGGTGTAGTTTTGAGGCTACAAGTTCCCCACTTCTCTCTCAAACCTCAAAGCCAAAAATACCCAAATGATGCATCCTCAAATTAGGACTTCCTGAGAATTGAAGCCCTCACCTCTCCACAACTGCACTCTGCCCCTCATGTAGGGCAAGGCATTCATCCTAATAAGGAGAGAATCCCATACCAATGGACTTTGGGACAGGGGGTTTTCTCATACACACACACACACACACGTGCACGTATATATGTATATATGTAATAGTGTACTGTGCTATAAAAAAAATGATGAAGAGGATAGTTTTAGAAAAATCTGGGAAGATTTGTATGAACTGATGCAAAGTGAAAGAGCCAGAGAACAATTTATACAATAATAACAATACTGTAAAGACAAACGACTTTGAAAGATGCAGCAACATGATCAACACAACAGAACCAACCACAATTCCAGGGGATTCATGATGAAACATTCTATCCACCTCCACACAGAAAAATGATAAACTCCTAGTGCTGATTGAAACAATTTTTTGACATGGCTAATGCAAATATTTTGTTTTTTTGCCTGACTACACATATTTGTAATGAGTTTTGTTTTTCTTGCTTTCTCAATGGGTGAGGAAGGAGAAAGTGGGAGGGAGAGAATTCAAAACTGAAAATAAAATTGAATTTAAAAATGTACTGTCAGGAGGTGGAATGTCTTGTTTAAAAGACAAGAAAGAATCTGATGTCGCTGGATTGGAGAGGTAGAGGGGAATAGGGTGTAAAAAGAATGGGAAGGTAGCAAAGGGTCTGATTATGAAGGGATTTAAGAGCCAAAGAGCTTTATTCTTATCTTGTAGGTAAGAGGGAGCCACTAGAGTTTATCGAATAGGAATTTGACATTGTCAGATCTACACCTGTAAAAGGTCATTTTCATCGTTGAGTGGAGGGTGGACTGGAGTAGGGAAACGTTTGAACCTGAGAAGTCAACCAGGCTCTTGTAGTAGTCCAGGCTTGAAGTGATAAGGGGCTCCACCAAAGTGGTGGCAGTGTTAAGAAGGAAGAAGGGAGGGGGTATATGTGAAAAATGTTGAATGTAGAATCTACAGGACTTGACAATGGATTGGATTTGGAAGGTGAGAGAGAGCAGGAAGTCTAGGATGATACCTAGCTTATGAGCCTGTATGACTGTGAGGATGTTGTTGCCCTCAAAAGTAACGGAGAACCTTGGAAGAAGAGAGAGTTTTGGGGAAAAGAGAGCAAGATGAAGACTTCATATTATTTGTGTTCAGCTGCTTTTTGTTCACTAAACACTTATTCTGTTGTAAGTCTTTTCTCACCAAGAAAGCCCTTTTATCTTTTTCTTTGTTGCATTCTGAAAAGTAATGAAGTATAAGCAAGGTCTACGAAACTGACCCTCCAGTATAATGCATTCAATGCACACTGTGAGATGGGCTGATTGCCACATATCCTATAAAGCAACATACCCGTCTTTCTTTGCTCGAATCCTCTCATCTAAAAGAACTTCAAGTAGATTTCTTTTTTCAAGGCTCTGGGCTTCAGAAAAGCAGGATGGAGGGGGAGGAGAGAGCAACCCTAAAACTTTTCCTCCACCATCACCACTGCATCTTTTCCCATGATATACCATTCAATTTCCATGAATTGTTTTATTTTCTTTTTGTCAAACAGCTTTAAACTTTTCACTAAATTACATGAGGTGGGCTAAAGTCAGGGAATATAAATAATTTCTAGAGTTAGTTAAATTCATCATTCATTAAAGGCCCTATATGTTCAAAGTACTGAGTCAGTTACTGATCATAAAAAGATGAAATATAACATACATAACTATAATGTTTCTACAAAAGGGCCATTATTTCAATGACTATTCTTGGATGCAGAGGACCAATGATGAAACACTTTGCTTCCCTGGGAGGTGGTGGACTACAGGTTCAGATTAGCTCTTGCTATTTGAGGCGATTGCCATTATGGTTTGTTTAATCATTTTTCTTTGTTACTAGGGAGGGTTTTACTAAAGGTGAGAAAGAATAGTGGTATAAAAACACAAAGTGTCAATAAAACATTTTTATTGTTATTTCTACTGTTAAGGGTACTTGCTAAGTACCTCTGTGATCTTCGTGAGTTCCTTTGGTCAAAAAGATATTTATTAGCCTGATTGTTCATCTGAAAAGTGAAGGAATTTGGATGTCATGTAGCAAGTAATGAAATGTCATTAAGTTTTCTGAGCAAAGGGGGATATACAATTGCATGGTGAAAAGAGCCAAGCTAAAAGAGTAGGCCAAGCTAATATAATAAAAATGACAATCCTACCTAAATTAAATTATTTGTTCAGTGCCACACCAATCAAACTACCAAAAAATTATTTCATAGAGCTAGAAAAAACAATAACAAAATTCATCTGGAAGAACAAAAGGTCCAGAATATCAAGGGAACTAATGAAAAGAAATGCAAGGAAAGGTGACCTAGATGTACCAGATCTTAAATTGTATTATAAAGAAGCAGTCATCAAAACTACTTGGTACTGGTTAAGAAATAGAGTGGTAGATCAGTGGAATAGGTTAGGTATGCAAGCCACAACAGATAATGATTATACTAATCTACTATTTGATAAATCCAAAGACTCCAGTTTCTGGGATAATAACTCACTATTTAATAAAAACTGCTGGAAAAATTGGGAAGCAGTATGGCAGAAACTAGGCATAGACCAACATCTTACACCTTATACCAAGATAAAGTCAAAATGGGTACATGATTAGATATAAAGACTGATACTATTAGCAAACTAGAACAGCAAGGACTAATTTACCTGTCAGATCTATGGAGAAGGGAAGAATTTATGACCAAACAAGAGACAGAGAA